GTATGGGGGAAGATTGAAACGTTTTTGTGGACTTTTGTGGAACTTTCTGTCTCAGGCGCCATAGACCTCCATTATTTGAATGTCAGCAGACAGCAAGAAGCCTCCCAGATCTCCAGATGCATTTGAGATATCAAAAAAGCACTCCAGAGTGTTGTTCAGCATGGGGGTGAGTAGAAAATGAAGGCTAATCATGTTTTGGGTGTACTATCCCTTTAACCCCACACTGCTCCTCGGGTGCCGAACAATCGCAGCCCTCTGCTCCACTAGGGGTTGGGTTAAATGCTGAGAGTTTATTTCTGTGCACTGTAATTGTGACAAAAGGCTGGAAAATGTTGTCTGCATGTGTACAGGAATATCTTCCATTACATATTTATGTCTACTCAGTGATTTGAGGAAAACTGCATATAGGACTGCTAATAGCTGTCACACCAAGGTATGGTTTTTAAAAAAGCCAGATATCTCTGCAGCTCCCCCAGAGTTACCATATGGACCTTAATGGCTGTTTTTCTAATCAATGCAATCCTTAGATAGCCTCTCAGTTTATGTGGGCATCCTTTTCTTGGCAGGTTTGCAGGTCCCTGGCGTTTAGCTCTATTCTTTTATACAGAACTCTACTTTACACTGCTCCAAACTCTCTCCTTGACCTGTTGTGCTCTGCTCCATGCTAATGTTTTCTCTCAGGCCTTGACCAAACAGCTGAATTTATGCTAGGGATAAATTCCATACAGGTTTACTTATTAGTGGAGGTATGAATTCAGATGTTTGCTAAATACATATTATTTTCCTTTCCCTTTAAATGAAAGCAATACTTTGTTTTTTAATCATTGAAGTTTTAATTTAAAAAAATTTGGACAAAATTGATGAATACTGTTGTAAAGTGTTGTAGAGCATGCCTTTAATCAGATTAGAGAGTATTTTCAACAGTTACAGAACAGGAACTAAGTTTACCGGTACATTGAAGATTTGCGTGCGGCTGTGTTTTTTGGATCATTTTCACCTGAGTTCCTTATAGAGTTTCGATGCTTATGTTTATTTTTTCTCTGTCTGATGCAGGTGCAATGATTGTAAAGCAGTATTTCACCTCTCCTGCAAGTCTGCTAAGAACGCATGTCCTCGCTGTCAGCGCATGAAGAAATATCTGGAGAGAGATCTGCAGGACTGAGAAATGGAGCAACAATTTTGCATTTGGTTTAATTACCAACATGGGGGGGAAAAAATGAAGTTTATCTTTTACATGAAGTAACCTAAAGTGCAATTATAAGAATATTAGGCTTTCCCGGCTGACTGAATCCTGGAAGAGAGACGGGATGAAAGAGGGCTCGGTGTTACAGTAGCTAAAACTTGCACTAATTTAGAATCCAACAAAGAAACTGATGCAACCACATGTTATTAAACTGGGAGTTTCTGATTCAGCCACAATATTGAAACAAAAGCAGGGCAGAAGTGAAAACTGCCACAAAGTATGTTGATTTATTCACTGTTGCCAGATTCACTTTTCTTAACTTCCTTGTTTACCATGCAGAGCTGCATTTTGTTTATGCATTTGATGCAATTATAACCTGGTTAAGATTAATGTTTTGAAATTGTTGAAAAAAGCACTTAAAATGATCAACTTAACAGATTTTTATTGTGCCTTGTTTAATTTTTAGTCTTTATTTTGTTTCCTTTTGGTATAGAGCTATAAAGGTGCCAAAACGCAGTTTGTTAAGGTGTTAATTTTCAACAATACCTGTTCACTTTATTTAAATATGTATGTAAAGCTTCTAAGTCTTTTTCATTCATAACACAGGTATAAAAGAGAGTTGAAATAAATGTTTTTATTTACATTTATATTGAATTTAAATGCATCAAAAAGAGCAATATATTTTGCATATTTGCACTTTTTAAAACATATCTTTAGTTATCTCTACTGAGCAAACCTGTTCTTTTGTGTTTTCTCAATTTTTTTACTATTTTGTTTTAATGTCTTCGTCTTGCTAAGATTCCAATAAATATTACTGCCAAGTACAGAAATAAATTTGATATATGCACAAATATTGTTTAAGAAAAGCTTTGAGATCATTGCAGTGCTGTCATTGCTTGATTGTACTCATTTTTTTTTTCTTTCATCAATGACGTATAAATGACCATACTAAGAATAAAAGTCTATTGTAACGGGGTGTCTGTTGATCATGTGCTGTTTACTGTGAATCAGGATAATGTGGGAATGTCTAACTATGGAGATCCAGTGGTGCTAAGAAAACGTAAGGAAATGTAAAAAGTTAAATCAAGTCTTGTTGCATTTTAAATCCTGTATTGCTTAAATATTTCATAATGAGGAATTTTTTTGTTTGCAAAACATACAGAATCACTGCAGAAGCAATAAATGTCTTTGAATTTAATCATATACTGGTACTTTGTTATATAATGGAATAACAATGTTAAATGTTGCCACTTAAACATCTCTAAATTTATGCAATGAATAATTGGATACCAAATTAATTAGAAATTCATATGGAAAACTATATATATATATATATTTTTTTTTTATTTTACCTTTATTTTACCAGGAAGTCCCTTGAGATAAAATCTCTTTTTCGAGGGAGACCTGGCCAAGGGGCAGCAGTACAGTAAGACATACCGTATAAAAACACAGGACATCATAATAAAATCAATCATAAACTATATATATTTATGATTTGTGTCTCTGGTTTCCATGTTGAATTCCAACATTAAATGGTAACATCCAGTAAAGGTCATCAACTAGACCAGAAGTCTGCAACTTTTCAAATCTAAAGAGCCTTTTTAATTGAGCCCATTAAAATGAAAGTCACTTAGAGCTGCAAAGACCTTTAATGCAACCTGTTATTTTTTTTAAATATCTCCTATAGGCAATCTGTCATGATTTTGTTCAACAGCATACAGTTTATTTGTAGTTTATAACTTAACATTAAATGTATCATATTGTAGTTTTCAATAGCATGATATTTTTGTTCTTGAAAAAGATGGATTTATACAGACACATTTAGCGAGCAAGAATCCATAATGATACAAATAACTAATAATTCAAAACATATTTTTAACTAGTTCACACATAGATAAAAATGTTCTGTTTATCATTTTATGGTTTAGAATTTCACAAATTAAAATAAAGGACAAAACAAACATTTCATAAGGAGCATGATTTTCTTCTATAGGGTTAAAAATATAACTGGAAAAAGTTTAATTAATTAAATCAGAACATATTGTATGGCCCTTATAAAGGTAGGCACTCAAAAATTAGCAGCATTATTTATGCTTATTTAGCTTGTTTTAAGAGAAATATAAGGGGTTTATTTTTTTAAAAAGTAATAGTTTGCAAATTAAATATTTAGTTTGTTAAATAAACATTTAGCTCCAAATGAAATACTTATTTAATAAAGTAAGATTTGTATAGTGAAAAAATGACCACCTTATTTTTATCTTAAAACGTCCTAAATAACTATATGTATTGCTCCTAACCAGAGGCGTAACCGGAAAATGTTTGTGAGGGTGGCCAGGCAATAACCAATGTACACTGGGGGGGGCCGAAAGCGGATAGGCACCAGAACCTCAGGGTCAGTCTATACACTGTTCCAACAGGATAATTAACAAGCAAAACATCCGTATTTTCTAAATAAAGACAAACTATACTTTTGTACAGCCTTTGATAACAAATAGAGGCATATATTTAAAAACCCGGAATTTCTAGATAAAAGGTATTGTGGATATAATTCTTTCGTTTTGAGTTCTGGGCCATAAATCTTTTCCACTGTCATTACTTACCTACTTGTATCAATAAACATCCTGCATAAAATTGTTATTTACAAGCACTAATATCTACATAAATAATTATTTGATAAGTTTTTATTAAAATTTAACTTATTTATTATTTCACTGAAGACTCTTAGATGACTTGCAGAGACACATAATTTTCTCTTTACCCCAAGTAACACAAAATCTAGTTCTGAAAAAAGCATGAATTCTGTACTAATCATCTTTGATGTCAGTATATTGATGTGTATAATTAACCACAAAAAATTTAAATGTTTTGAACATTCCACTTGAGAGTATTACTGCTGCCACCATCTTTATCAGAGGGAAGAAAATGGTATGGGTGGCCACTGGGGTGGCCATGGCCACTCCTGCCCCCCATCTAGCTCCGCCCCTGCTCCTAACTGCTTAATTTTACAAACGGCGCCCCATAAGAACAGAGATTAATTTAAATAACATACAAATATTGCTGCATGGATCAATATTTGCTCTTATTGATCTTTTTGTTTATATTAATTTTGAAAGTATTGATCTTAGATATAGTTTTGCATTATTTTATTGTTATTTGAAAAACCTGATTTCCCATCGTTAACAAATTGATTTAAAAAAAATTTGTTTTCTTCACAGATATTTGTCTCTGTTCTTGCTAAGACCCTAAAAACACAATGCTTTAAAATAAAAGATTCTTTTTAAATGAATCAGGTTGAGTCTCATGCATGGTGCATATCCATATGGTGCATGCATTGTTTCGCCTGCAGAGGTGAGCTTGCGTCAACGGATGAGTCTGATGGGAGGAGTATAAAGCAGGAGAGCAAGCCTGAAAAACACGTTTGGCCAAATTGTTCAGCCTGGTCAGCTGTTTCCTCTCACTCACTAGTAGCAAAACACAGTCAGTGTCTCTGAGCCTCCAATTTAAGCTCTAAATCATCTCCACGGAGGGAAGGTTTTGTTTTTAGTCAGGACCGAGTGCGCGCCTGGGGGATGGAGTCAGCCCAGAGGGAGGCAGCAGGTAGGCGGCTGGAAAGAAGCTGCCACACGGCGTTCCTACACAGCGACACTCTGTATGTGTGGGGAGGCTACCAGGTAAGAGGAGGGGGGGAGGGTCTACCTGCACAGGTGGTATGAGGGATAAAATGAAGGGTTCTGTGTTGTTTTTGACCCACATTTACAACTTAGGAAATCCTTAACTGAGAAACATAACACATTTATTGGACACTTTATATTCCAGGAGGCTATATATCTTAAAATTTTTAAGACTTCAATTTAGGTTTGATGCAGATATTTAGTTTATGCTGTTAATCAAACAATTAGCACCTGACTCCGCAATGGATTTTAGAAGATATTTTTACCCAGTTTTTACCCAAGGGGACCCTGGTGATACTCCCCTGCCCCCACAGCAGCTCCACCCAGGCAATAGTTGGGATTCATCTTTCCAAAAAAAAGTGTAAAAAAAAAAAAAAATTCCCTGAAATTTGTTTTCTTTCCAGGAAGTTTTCTCGCTTTAAAATGTCAGAAATGGGCGTGCAGGTGGAGCAGTAGTTTGTGCGCACAACGCATGTATGGAGGCTGAGTCCTTGACGCGGCTGACACGGGTTCGAATCTGACCTGTGGTCCTTTGCTGCATGTCTCTCTCCCCCTCTCTGTCTACTTCCTTTCTTGTCAGCATAGCGTTGAGCAAATGAGCCACTAATGTCGCAAAAACTAAAAAAAAAAAACTCATAAAAAAACTCAAAAAAAAATAAAAAAAAAAAAAATTCCCTGAAATTTGTTTCCTTTCCAGGAAGTTTTCTCGTTTAAAAAAAAAAAAAGTCAGAAATAACGTTGAGTTTGAGGCTTTATGTGCAAAATCCATCTTTTGTGCATGACATGCTGTCTGCTTTGGACTGCATACCGCCCTGGAGTAAATGTTTGTCCTTTACACATTTAAGGAAAAAGTATTGTTTCCAAATCATCCTGAGTTTCTCCCCATCAAACAGGCTCCTGTCCTTGATGAATAATATTATATGTCTACAAATTCATCCTAAAATTGTAAATTCACCCTCTATGCTGATGACACAGTATTGTATTAAATGAATAGTACACCCAAAACATGATTAGCCTTCATTTTCTACTCACCCCCATGCTGAACAACACTCTGGAGTACTTTTTTGATATCTC